GGTGTATATGGGTTTATCCAAAAATAGATAGCATTTTTGAAATCAGCGTTTTAAAATCTTTTGGAATCAGTCAAAATATATCAAAAATTGCAAAACAAATACATTTTTTGATAAAATTCCAATGTTGCAATCAAAGATTTCGTTGTTTTGCAATGGAAAGTTGTTTTGAAAAGTCATCAGACACGATAATTTCGTTCTTTTCATCAAGAAGACTTTGCCCAATTAGTTGTTGATTATATTTTCCTTCTACTATAGGGAAGACCCAGGTTGTAAAGTTCCTTTTAAAGCATTCTTATAAGTCATAAGACTTTGCCCAATTAGTTGTTGATTATATTTTCCTTCTACTATAGGGAAGACCCAGGTTGTAAAGTTCCTTTTAAAGCATTCTTATAAGTCATAAGCACCTGTAATAAGAATAAAAATTTATTCTAAGGATATGCATCTGAAATAGGATTTTATGTTTTTTACTACTAGACAAGTAACATTAAATATGTATATGTACAGCCGATTTAATGTTAATAAAAAAGATTGAAGAGTAGTCCATGGTTTTAACTTGACATCATTTCCAATTTGAGTAAAGCACTCTATGGTTTATAATTTATAAATCTAAATTTTATCTATTTTTTTCTATCAGAATAAATTAAAGTGCCTAGCACAAAATTTTCAAGTTGTTCACAGTCAAAAATTTGCGTTCCGGTTAAAAATTATACAAAACTTTAGAATTCAAGAATATATACTAGTTTGTACAAAGACTTCGTTTAAAAATCCATGGATAGATCTTTAAATATTTGATAAAAATAAAACGACAAAAACGTTGTTTAAAAACCCATTGATATATATATATATATATATATATTTACTAGACCATGCCATCCTTCTTTCTCATCCATCACATTGGGAAAAAAATATCAATTTGATATATTCTACCCTTCAAAATAATTCCTATCCACTACAACTTTTACGCTCAGTAATTAATAATAGATTACCTTTTCTTCGTAATAAATTCCGTACACCTTCCTCATTTACCTCCTATTCACAACAAAATAACATCACTTCACAAACCCTTAACCCTGTTCCTGATAATTCACTATCTCTCAATTCCTTCATCTCATTACCGTACATCGATTGCCTTTTCCACTCATGGAAAAAACTTTTTTCATCCGTTGGTCTGAAACTAGTGTGTTCGACTGGACACACTCTCACAGACTTATACACTAATTTAAAAACTCCTACCCCTATTTCCCGCACGTCAAACGTTGTATATGTCATTGATTGTAATGATTGTTCAAGTTGTTATGTTGGAGAAACTTCACAATTTCTCTCAAAAAGAATGCGCCAACACGAACTTAACAGTCTTAACAGGAAACAAAATAAAACCATGATCACCGAACATGTCTCCAACTTTAAACATTCTTTTAATTTCACCAATCCAAGAATTATTCATCGAGAAGCCAACACTTTACGCAGGAAGTTTGCTGAGAGTATTTTTATACAAATATTACCTACTATTAACAAACGTTTTGATTCGGCTTCTCTTTGCAATATTTACCGCGATGCTTCGAACAATTTTTTCAATATGCGCAATACTTCGTAACAATTCTTTTATGTAATGTATATGTATATATGTATATATGCGTATTTTTATGTATGTGTATATGTACATATATACATATTTATGTTTGTGGATATACATATATGGGCATATATGTTGCATTTGTGTGTATATTTGGATTTTACATAGATGTTGTAATTGCATGTTTGCATGTGGTTGTTTATCTTTTGTGTGGTTAGTTATGTTTTGTGTATGTGTAAGCAATTGTTACAATTATTGTGTTGCGTTATATATACATATATATGTTGTTTTTTAATTATTAATAACTTGTTTTTTTAACTTTTATCTTTTTCAGTTAATATTTATACTTTTTCTTAATATAATTCTCTATTTCACAATTTTTTACATTGATCTGTCTTGGTTTTATTATGTTTCTATATTTTTATTTTGATCCACATTTTTCATTTTGATCCAACTTTGTTCAACCGTCTGATTATGGATGACTTACATATTTAAAAAAATTTTCTATGTTCCTTGCGCATGATCGCTGGAAAATTCTTCATAACTGTAACCCTTAAAATTCTCTCTATCCCGTTCTCTCATCCAATGACGATACAGTTTCCACTATTTTCCGCTGCAAACACGTAGGCCCGCATTTTACTCTCGTTTACACATACGTAATTCTGTCTCCAAACTAACAAGATGTGTTTTTGGAATCACCTTTTTTACAATAAAACATATTATTTATTTTAATTAATTTTTACAATTTTCATAACTTGATGTTTTTTCAATTTTATATTTCATACTTATTTTTTCGTTTACATTTTTGTGTTGTTCTTTGTGTTATATTTTTTTAAAAAATTTATTTGTATGGTGAGTTTCTTTACATATGTTTATTTTATGTTGTTTTTCATATATATTTTTCATATACATTGTATCTACTTATTTTTGTCTGTAATTATGTATCTTTTATATTATTTTTTTTATATTGTTTTAATTTGTAACCCTGATATATTTATTTGTAGCACTGAAGATGGGTCAAATCTGGACCCGAAACGTATGTTTTCTTAATTAAAACATTTTGCATTAAAACTGTTTTTTTAATTATTGGATGGATGCCCAAGAAACAATTTTTATCATATTATTTCACCATCTGAAGAAAAACCTCTCGCTTTATATATATATATATATATATATATATATATATATATATCTTTGAATATTTGATAAAATAAGAGAGCAAAATCTTTTGTTTAAAAATCCATGAATATTTGATAAAATTAAAACGGCAAAAACTTTGATTAAAAAACCATGGATAAATATCTTTATAATTTACCTCTATAAAGCCATCATTAAACCAAATTGAACAAACAGGATACAGCTATGGGGATCAACTTTCAACTCAAACGCTTTAATAATTCAAAGATTTCAAAACAAGTAATCAAAAGAAATTTGAAGAACCAAAATATGTTCCAAATTGACACAAAGCACAGGCACTAGTACAGTTAAGAATGAAATAATTGCTTTCTCACACAAATATAAAAATCGTTTAGTTGATCACCCAAACTTGCTCGCCAGAAAACTTCAGAACAACTCTACCAGGGCCAGATTGAAAAGAAAATTTCTTCTGCATTAATCAACAATAGATAAGACCTTCGACTGAAAATGGTCAGATGATTTGTATTCTGCCAACGCCTTCAGATTTACGTCATATATTTTACTTCTAGTACTAGAAGTACTAGTACAGGGCGTTTTATTTTTATCAAATATTCAAAGATATCATTTTTATTAAAATTATTATTTTAATAATTTTTACAACTGTTCTGGAACAGACGTAAAAACGTTAAAAAAAGGTTAAAAAAAGATATCTTTGAATATTAGATAAAAATAAAACGCCCTGACGCTTTACTGCGCCATGCTTATTTACATTTATGTATACATCGTATTCAAATATTGTCTGTGCCTAGGCTTATTAACTTCCCGAAGGACAAGTTTATGTTTTCATCAAAAAATCCGATTCGCTAATTTAATGTTTTCTCGACATTTCAAGCCATTCTGAATCGAATGAGACCAAATTTGGAAAATGGGGAAGTATGTTTGTGCGTGAACAGATTTTTTGCCGTAAATCGACGTTTTCTCAAAAACGGCTGGATCGATTTCAAAAATTTAAAAGCCATTCGATGTATCTCGTTGAGGTCTGTTATTTGTCAGTTTTGTGCGACGATCGGCCAAGCCGTTTCTTTATAAATCGCAGAAAAGTGAAAAATTTTCTGCGTTTCAGCCCGCAATTCTAAATCGATTTTGAAAATTTCAAAACCGTTCGATCGAACTTTATCTTTAATATCTTTTGAAAGATATTGGTTGGAAATCGTGCTGATTAGTTTTTGGTAGAGATCGGCCGGGCCGTTTTCTTGTAATAAAGTTAAAAAAAAAAAAATTGACGATTTTTATGATTATTTTTCTGGCGGTAGATACCATAGTCTTCTAGATCAGACTAAAATATTACGGCCCTACGACAACTCGTTTAGCTTTAAAAATTCGTCAAAGTTTGCAAAAATTAGTATGGCCTTTTTGGCATTTGTCAAAATTAGATCTTTCATCAACGTTTGCTCAAAAACGCCTGAACCGATTTCAGATATTTAAAAAGCATTTGATGTATATCGATGAGGATTATCGTTTCTCAGTTTTGTGCGACGATCGGCCGAGCCGTTTCTTTGTAATTTGGAAAAAAATGTTAAACTTTTTGTCCACATTTAAGCTCATACTACCAAATCGATTTTAAAAAATCAAAAACTGTTCGAAAGATATTAGTTGGGAATGATACTGATTAGTTTTAGGTAAAAATCTACCGAGCCGTTTTCTTATTGTAATTAACTGTTGAAATAAAAATTGAAGCCGATTTTCATGGAACTTTTTTTGGGCCATATATATCATGATCTTATAGAACTTACTGAAATATTACGGCCTTACGACAAGTAGTTCAATTTTAAAAATTCATCAAAGTTTGAGAAAATGATATCATTATCACTACTCGAGTAGTCTTTTTTTTGACATTTGTTAAAATTAAAATTAGACGATTTACTTGGTATAACGATAGAGTACTTGGTCTTAATGAACATACTAAACAATTAAAGTCCTACAGAAAACTGGCTCAATTATAAAAATTATTGATTTTTGAAAATTTGCTTTTAAAAAATACTCCGACCGGGTTGACGTGTTCGATTTTCAATAATGTGTAATGAATCCACTTCAATACTTTTAACTACTCATAAATTAATTTATCTATCATGGATTAAGTCGATTATTTACACAAATCGGGAAGTTCATGTAACTTGCCTCAAGGCAAAATACCAATACCAACTAGTTCATAGATAAGTAAACATAACTAGTTTATGTTTTCTATCAATTGACAGATGACACTGCCATCATGACAGCCGAAGTTTGACATTAAATGCAAGGTTTAAAATTCTGAAGCGCTTAATTTATTTCGAGTCAGTGTTGTTTTGTTTATTAATATAAATATATTATGTATATACATAAATAGTGCTCGAAAAACAATAATAATGACTGATAAAAGTGATCGGGAAAAATCCGATAAAGTTAATATAAGCAATCAGGTTAAACATGTACCTAAAGACGCCCAAGTTGTTGTTGCTATTTTAAAAGATATGGGAATATCAGAATACGAGCCTCGAGTTATTAATCAATTGTTGGAATTTACCTATCGTATGTATATTTTTTAGACTCAAACAAACTTTAACCATTACAAACTGTGGTTATCAACAAACATAACCTAAACAAGTTTCATTTATTATAACATTGTATAAAAAGTTTAAATTCTAAGTAAATTTATTTTGTTCGATATGAATTGAGTTAATGGTCTCCTATTCAATGGCTATCTATCTATTTTTAATTATTTAGTACAAATATTTATTCAATTACAGGGTTCATTGAATCAACTTTGTAGACATCATTAAACTTATAACATTTTCAATTCAAGTTAATTATTTAATAAGTTATTAAAAGTAATTTTAATTTGCGACATCCCATACATCCAATTTTTTTTAACACATTATCCACCAAGAATGAAAGCTATGTATTATATCAAACCATAATAATTTTTATATTAACTTTTTTAATATATTGTACAAAGGATACGTCACATGCATTTTGGATGATGCTAGAGTATATGCAAATCATTCTAATCATCAGAACAAAAAAAGTATTGATCTTAAAGACGAAAAGCTAGCAGTACAAATGATTGCGGAAAGAGCTTTTACAACACCACTACCCCGAGAGGTAAGTTTGATGTGAAGTGATTAATGAAATTTGAAATTTGTGATTTCTTCAAATGAAATCTCTATAATATTTATTAAGAAATAAAATAGTAAAATAAAATAGAGTGAACTAATATATAATACCAATTGCAAGTAAATACTTTAGTATTATGTGTAAAGTTTTTAGTTATGTATGTGTAAATACTATGCTAATTAATATATATTATTAAGACACTTATAGAGATGGCAAGATCAAAAAATAGTACTCCTCTACCACTTGTGAAGCCTCATTGCGGTCTTCGATTGCCTCCAGATCGATATTGTCTTTCTTCTTGCAATTTTAAATTGCGTACAAATGTACTAAACACAAAAAAAGTAAGTTAAAATGTCTCAAAATATTAGAACTTCTTTTACAGATAGTTTTTTTAATTCAAGGCCAAGTCTGAAGCACGTAACATAAATAAAGGTGCATCTAAGAATTCAAACTTACTTCATGCTTCAATAAAGAGGCAGCCTGGCCAAACAACTCTGCCAACTACGACCAAAATGCAGACTGTCTCTGTTCCAAAGCCAGTATTCAAGTTCAGTGCAAATCAACCTCAGCAACCTAAAAATAAACAGGTGAATTATTATATATATATATATATATATATATATATATATATAATGTAATATAATATAAATAATATTCTTTCTATCTTTCAACAGCCGATTAAAGTTGAAGTAAGCTCAGAAAATATGAATCCAGGCCAAGTTAATACAGCCAAAAGAAAAAGAGAAGATGAAACTGATATTGTCATATGATTATAATTTATATTGTTTATGGAATTAATAATTAAAATTTTACAAATTTAATGTTTAAATATCTCTATTGAAAACAGATAGTTCTTCTATATTTTCTTTCAATATTTATTTGAATATATAGTATTTTTGTAAGAAAATTTATGTAAAATGTATTTTGTTTCAATTAGCTATTCTTTAATTAAAGTTATGTGAATATTTTTATTAGTGATATTTTTATCATTTTTTTTTATTTCTTATAAAATGCTCCAGAAAAAATTAAAACTATTGTGTTAATTCTTACTACCATTTAGAATAATAAGAATTGTGTACCTAATATATATGATTTCAATGTTAAACAGTATTAGCAGAAAACAATTCCTGGTCTTTCTGACAATTCTATGAACAAATAGAAAAGTATTTTATACTTCATAATTTTTATCCGAATTTATAATAAAAAGAATTTTATTTTCAAATTCAAATCCAAATCCATTTATCATCTGAAGGCATTTTTTTAAACTTTGCAGGCCATATTTTTTGCTATGATGTGATATAATGTGATTTACAAGAAATCATAGAAATTAATTAGTGAAAGTGGCATTTACCCTTAAGGCAAGTTGCATAAACTTCCCGAAATGTATAATAATTGACTAAAACCAAAATTGAGCATTAGATATTCAGATAAAATTTTGAACTTATTATTTCTAAAATGAAGTTTTCACTTTCAATTATATCTTAACATTGCAATTTCCAATTCAATTTTTTCAAACACAATTTAAATTATCTGTAATTATATTAATTATATTGTACTAACACTGGTTGTATGTCCAAAAATTGTAGTATGTTTACTAAAATTTTAATGAATTGACAATGTTTAACTCATCACATCACAAAAGCTACTTTTGACAGGAATTTTTGCAAACTTAATGAATTAATTTAAATACATAAATTAGATAAATTTTTAAAATTAAACTTCTTGCCGTAGGAACTTAAAATTTTAGTATGTTCTTTGGGACCATGATGTCTAACAATATAAAAAGTTTCATCGAAATTTTTTGTTTCAACGGTTAATTCCAAAGAAACGGCTCGGCCGATCTTTGTCCAAAACTGATCAGCAGGACTCCCAAATAATATCTTTCCAATAGTATTTGAATTTTGAAATTCTGTTCAGAATTTTTGGCTAAAACGTGAACAGAAAATTTTTGGCTGGTTACAAGGAAACGGCTTAGCCGATCGTATAAAAATTCTAACCGATGCGAGTGCTTATAAAGTTTTATCGAATGGTTGTTAAATTTTTGAAATCGACTCAGCCAAGCTTCATAAAAATTGTCTGATTTTTTTTTCAATAGTTAATTACAAGAACACGTGTGGATTTTTACCAAAAACTAATCAGTATCTTTCCCAACCAATATCTTTCAGACAGTTTTTGAATTTTTAAAATCGATTCAGGATTGCAGTCAGGCTAAAACGTGGACGAAATTTTTTTCGCTTTTCTGCTATTAATAAAGAAACGACTTGGCTTATCGTCGTGCAAAACTGACAAACACTAGTTCTTATCGAGTTACACTTTTTCCAAATTTGGTCTCATTCACAATGGCGATTGAGAAAACATAAAATGAGCAAATCGTGTTTGATGAAAACAATTGTTTTTCTTTTTTCTTTCAAAACTTTTCCTTTGGATAATCAACAAATAAAATTAATGCATTTAATTATGTAATACAGGAGTAAAATATGAACTAAAACTAAATATATAAGCATAACATTTTACAGCACATAAATATTTATCGCTTTAATTTTCTTACTTATTCTCATTTCTATATATTATTCACAATTGTGAATTTACCCTTAAGGAAGTTAATTACTTAAGTAATTAACTTCCCTTAGGGTAAGTTATAGTAATCGCAAAAAATATAAATAAAAATGTTTATATATCTTTACGTTTCAGAAGTTTCTGAAAATTTTGGCGTAACTTAGAAAAACTGGATGTATGTGTGTGAGTGTTTATGTATGTGTGTGTGTGTGTGCGGATACAAATTTTTGTCGTCGATTTTGCGAATACGGATTAACGGATTTAAATAATTCAAAAAACCTTCGATTCGTGCTGATTAGTTTTTGACAAAGGCAGGTCTAGCCGTTTCGGAGTTACGGGGCAAAAACTGCCAAAACTGGTATTTCAGTTTTTGAGATAACGGAGCGTCCGATTTAAATAATTCAAAAAGCATTTTACTTGTATTGACGAAATGAACAACTGGTGAAATTTTTGTAAAGACAGGTCCAGCGTCTCCGAAGATCCAATAAAAAATTGAAAAATAATGCCATTTGGTGGTCAAAACTGAACATTTATGAACATCGTATTATCAGAAATTTTATAAAGATTGTAATAATAAGTACAAATTTTGTGTATATTTGTATGGGTTCCGTACCAATGTTTAGGCGTTGGACGACTACGCGGCGCTCACGCGCTTTGTTATTTCGACTCCAAATCAGCTATGCAGTGCGATTGCTTAAAAAAATTATCAAAACTTTTAAAATAATTCGAAATACAAAAAAAATCAAAATATAAATAAATCAAATTTTTCAAAAAAGTTATTTTTTTTTAAATTTCAAAATTTCTCAAGAATCTAATTTTTTCCAAGTTTTGCAAAGTTTTTTTTAATAAATTAGTTTTCGGTACGGGAAGTTCCAGCAATTTGCCCAAAGGCACGATGCCGTACACCACTAGTTTATAATAGATTTCCTAATCCTCTAGCAGCAGTTCTGGACCTACCCCCGGCAATCTTCCAGCAACCGCCGCCGTCAAACGAGTTTCCCCGCACGGAGGCGCGTGTCCGCGTATACAAAGCGCGGTGTCCGCTACGAAGAACCCAGTGCGCCAACAATATTTGCTGAGTTAAGATGTTCACATATAAAAATTGTTTTCCTTCCACTCATTATCGGTGACCACTAAGGAAACGTGCGATTTTCCTTATTATCTCCCAACAAATAACGAACTGTGTTTTGTGTATTTTATTTTGTTGCATGGTACTGTCTTTATAGATTAAAGTGCTCACTTGAACTATTTGTTGTGATAGATTTAAAAAAGTGTGAATTTTTCACCATGGGTGCAACTAAGCATTTATTAGTTTTTGTGATGACTAGTCTGACTTTGGTAAGTTTTTCATTTCTTAAAAAGGATTGTAAATAATTGCATAAATTAATGCAAAATATAATTGGTAATATTTTTATAATTATGATTTTTCCATAAATCAAATTATGGTTGTATATATTTAATAAATAATTTTCTGCTTTTGGAATTAATACTTTGAAAATCTAAATTAATATTAATTATTATGAAAATAATAATATAATCATTGTTCAAAGAAGAAACAAATTATTATGAATAATATAGACCTTAATATACTTATTATTATACATACACATGCATAATAATAAATGGTCTGCCCGAAGGCAGGTCCATAGTGTGAGAATACCACAAATCAATTCTTTTCTTTCCCTTCCTTGTTTATTATTACTATTTACGTTTATGCATTTTTCTTTCAAAATTTCTGCTTTCAAGTTTCTCAGTCTTCCCAATCCTTTTAGTCCTAGTTCTATTCTACCTTTGACATCCTGTGGGAAGCAGACTGGATCCAATCCAGTTTAATTTTTCTTTTCAGGATCGTGTCCAGTAGAGTTTTTACATACATACACACATATTATCTATATATATAATTATATATATATATATATATATATAATTAAAAAAAATCATTGAGAGAACATCGTGCAATAAGGAATAATATTTCTATTTTGTTACTTTTTATTCACTTTTGTGATTTTTCTTTTAAAATTTCTGCTTCCATGTTTCCTGATCCTGTGCTTCGGCTTTTAGTTTCCTGAATTTTCTCTTCTTCCTAATTCTTTTAGTCCCTCTATTCTACCTTCGACATCCTGTAAGAAGTAGACTGGGTCCAATCCAGTTTTCTTTCCTTTCAGGATCGTGCCCAGTAAAGTTTTTACATACATCACACGTATATATATAATTTTTTAAAAAATCATTGGGAGAACATCGTGCGATAAGAATCAATATTTCTATTTTATTACACTGGATTTAAAATTTACTCTTTAATGCGTTCTACAGCTCTCGATGCAAACAAATAAAGCATCTAAATAAACGTTATTCTTGCAATTGCAATTTGAATATGCTTTGAGTCAATATATATTTTCTTAATAATAGGAAACTAAGCTCAATTGAGCTTAATTACCTCTATTTTAAGAGAACCTCTATTTTAAGACAATTTTATAATTGGTACATATCTATCAATATATACAAAATCAATAAATACAAAAGTTTAATATCTAAATTATTTTGATTATTTAATAATAATTTTATTATAATAAATTGTGTATATAAATATATTTATATACACAATTTTAAATATATTTAAAATCTCTTAAAACTGTAAGTCAAAATATATTTAAACTGGTACTTACTTTTATAGGTGTAGAATTGTACATATAGCATTACAATGCAGATAACAAATAGAAAAATTACCACACTAATCAATTCTAAACTTTGAGAGTCAAAAGCTTTACATATCAATATTCATAAAGCATTTAAACACTTTCTATACAAAAGGATTGATTCACTTTAGGGCACATATATTGGTTTCTTCACATTTTGTAACTTTTTTCGGTTTGAGAATTTTTACATTTTTTTAGTCATAGTATTAAAAGATGTATTTTATTAAATTTTTGCCTTAGAAATTCGTTTTATTGAGTTCCAAAAAGCACCAACAACAACAATTTTATTAGATTACAAATCTGATGAAATAAATGAAGCTATTTTACATAAAAAGAAGTTTGAAAACTACAATTTTATTCCAATGTAATATCCTACAAATTTTTAATCGAGCATCTAAAAGCCATCAATTTTCCAAATGCACTAAAACATTTGAAATTTTTTCTAGAACAAATGGAAAAGTATCGGCATGAATTTGAAGATTTAAAATTAGAAGTGAATAGTATAAAAGAAAAATAGTCTGTCGACAGACTATCCTCAATTCAAA